CATGGGTTGCAAAACTGTCATGTCTCTCTTCTGTTCCCAAACTGACTGAGCACTTTTATTAAGTTCTCACAGTTTGACATTGAAATACTCCCTGTGGGGAGGCCTGGCCTTGTGCAGTTGGGGTCCTGGACCCCGGAGGACTCCCCGGCCTTGGAGCTAGCCTGTGTGTCCACACACACTTCCTGCCCCATGCCACACCCTCTCCCTCGCTGCCCACAGCCCCTCCAGCCTCCAAGCTTGGCACTAGCAGACCCTGCCTAGATGCTGTCCTCCTCCCATTTCTCCCCTGTAACTATTACAAACTCAACCTTTGCCACCCCGGCCATGAGGATGCCCACGCCCACTTGCATCTAGGCTGGGTCAGGTGGCTATCCTGGCATGCATTTGCCCTCGAATCACTCTATAGCCTAATTGCTTGTTCCTCAGCTGTGCACTTCTTAGATAGAAGGATCTAGAATGTACTCCTCTTCTTATCCCCAGCGTCTAGCACACCACCTGATGTACAGTAAGCATTCTAGACATAACTGTTAAATGAGTAACTGAATAAAATGAGTGAGAAAATGAATATTCATTAAGAAGTATTTCTAGAAGTTTCCCGAAGAAAGTCACAGAACTCCCCTCAGCCGACTGTTTTGTCTGCATCCCTTCTGGATTCTGTGCGAGAGAATCATGTGCTCCCTTGCTGCCCTAGTTATGCCCCTGTGTGTTTGGAGTAATTAAGGACAACGGCAAGATGGAGGGCTCAGTGTTACAGCATCTCGGGGCTGCAAGGGTGGAGGCTTCCCAGAATGGCAAGCGGGTCACCCAACATTTTTTGACAACAGACACTCTCTTAAAAAGCTAGTGTCTGCTCGAATTCTTGGCAAAGTAACTTTCTCTGAGCTGCCGCAGGAGGGGCAAAGGAAAGAGCAGCATCTGAATGCCCCACACCCCTACACAGGCAATGCGCTTTGGGGGGTCCAGCCCCCGCCATCTGTCTGTCCTCACCTGTCCCCATTCTTCACCTCATTTTTTCACCCCAGCCACACAGGGTGGCATTTCAGTTTCCTAAACGTGAAAAGCTTTTTCTGGCCTCGAAGTCTTCACATGTGCTGTTCCCTCTGCCTGGCCTGCCCCTCCCTGGCTTCTTTCACTTTGGGTCTGATGTCATCTCTCCTGAGAGGGCCCTGTTTGGCTGTCATCCCTAAGGCAAGTGTCTCCTTTCTCAGCCCCTGGCGCTTGCCTTGACAGCATGTGCCACCCGCAGGCTGGCCCTCTCCAGTCTCAAATCACCGCTGGGGTCTCGGCACCAAGAGAGTGGAGCTGATTCTGGCTCTCTCAGCCTCTGATTCTCAGGGTGTGGCACACAGTAGGTGTCTATTTTGAGAAGCCCCTAGCATGAATCTTTGGTGGTGGCAGTTGGGGTGGATTAAGTTTAACCTATTGCTCATCGAAATAAAAGATGTGCATGTTCCAAACCCACCCCACGCCCTTCCTCTAACCCACATGCGTATTTTACTTTCCAACCCACAAGAGACCTCCTAGGACGGCATTTTCCCTGCATGCCCTTTTTAAGGAGCCCATGCTCAGGGAGAAACCTGGCAAGTCTGAAGCCTGAAGTTCACATTCTCAGACCATCTCATCAACCCTTCCGCCTCAGAGCAACGTGGTCGCCCCCTTGGTAACTACTTATCAAGGAGGCTTGAAAAAAGGTATTTCTATGATGCAAAACTAGGATCGTTCTCTCGGGTTTTAAGTGACTCAAAGCACAAGTTGCAAGTGTGTGTGTGTGTTGGTAATAATGACGGTAGCATATGTTCATAGATGGTCTATCTGCACACATTATCTCACTCAGTCCTTGCTAGCAAGCACTGCCCCCATTCTCAATGTCTTTGAGCATGTGTCTACGGATACGGGGTGTGTACACACATTCACACATGACCATGGACTCTTGGGGAAGGGTATGAAATTGGGGATCGATGCCCAGTTGTTACACTACACCCATCTCTGATAGTTTGTATCCTTTGAAACAAACGTGTGTTAGTTCCACACCTAAAACACCAAGTTATTGATTTTGCTGTATGTGTTCCCACTAGAAATGCTTACTGAGTAACTGAACATTAGGAATATCTTACCTTTTTTTTTTCCTTTTGTCTTTGGAAGGGCAAGAAAAACTGGTGGAACGAGAGAGCATAAACTCAACTGGAAGCATTATCTTGAGATCTCCTTGATTTCCAGAGCCATGAAAGGCGACATGGTCCACACACGAACCTCCACCTAATCGTGTCACGTTGTCACCCAGCTCCTACCAGGCTCAAGTGCAATTCAAGCTATGGTGGTAAAAGTATACACAGTATGCTCTCGTTTTTTCCGCCACTGTCTTTAGACATTCTGACCTCTGGGAATGCCTCTCCTCGGATGTAAAGATGCTGATGGCATCGTGAAAGCCAAGTCCCCTTGGTACAACTACGGACACCATCAGGCAGGCTCTCTGTGTGCCCCCAGGCAAAATGAGTGAACATTTTATTTTTTTCGCATGGTATCCTGCATGTCCACAGTACTTTGTTCTTTGTGATTTTATTGTCTCTTCCTTACCGCTCAATGAGCTCAGCTTCTCCCAGATGGGACTCTGGCTTTCTTATTTGATTTATCCTTATGTGTTGCTTTTCCTCCCTGTATCAGCGTGGCTGTTGGACCATTTGTGGGGACTCTGGGCATTGTCTTTTCATACCTTTTGTTTATTTCCTAATTTTCTACTGGTTTGTCTTTTCTTATGCATCACAGACATTTTTTGCACAGCAAGGATGTCATTCGGAATAGCAGCTGAAATTTATTGAATGCCAATCTGTGCCAGGCATTGGATGCTAATTTGTGCTAATCTGCTGAACACTCCACAGGCGGCATGGAATTTTCATACTCGTTTAGGAAACTGAGTCACAGAGAGGTAAAATAACTCACTAGAGATTGGAGCCCAATAGGCTCGCTCCTGGGTCAGTGCTCCCTGCACGTCCCTATACCACTGAGAACTCCCTGGGCCCCCGCCATGCCCCCTGGATGCCCTCTTCCTCTCTGAGGCTCCTTTCAAAGCCTGCGGCATACATTTTAGGGCTAACTGTATCCATTTTCAGGAATTCAGTTGCCCACACCCAAATCAGAGCCCCCAATCTCCAACCTTCTTGAACCGCATCTCTGTCCTCCTGTGAATCCTTCTGAAAATGCAACATGGACCGCAGATCAAGAAAAACAGATTCCTCAAGTAATGGGAGATCTCCAAGACAGAGGGAGCAGCAAAGACTTGGGATCCAAAAATCCCAGGGTTTGAATTTAGGTTCATGTGCCCCATGAGATCATGATAAACATAAGGTCTAAAGTCATCTATAAAATGAGGGTAAGAATATCTGCCTTGCTAGGTAATGGTGAGAAACGCCTCCTGAGATGTTTAGGTCTGGTCCGGGATGAGGATATGAGAGCTTTTGTCCCAGGGAAGACCTGTGCTTCCTCCTTTCTGCATTGTGGGGGCCCTTCAGTCCTGCAGGGGACTCCAGTCTTGCAGGAAGGCAGCTGGCAGTCCCCCAGGTAGTTAGCGCCTAACCTCCAGAGTGACCTCAGGTCAAATTCTGGTTGTACTACTTTCTCACTGTCAAATCAACCTTCGGAGCTCCAGTCCACTCACGCGTGAGACGGACTAAAAAGAGTAGCCAAGTACGGGATTTTGGGGGGATTGTGTCATTCCATGGAAAGTGCTTGCCACACAGTAGGTGGCGGTTCAATTTACTGAGCATTTATTGAGCGCTTCTCAGGTGCCAAACATGGGGACACAAGCTAGACCAAGTATAAATGGTTAATGATACTATGTATTCCTTCCGCACTCTGCTCAGCCGGAAGTTCTCCTTCTTTGTAATGTTCCATGGGACTGCCTTTCTTCTCGACTTACTTTACAACTTCGCGCTTGCCCCCCACCGCCCTGCACTGCCTTCCTTCCACTGTGTGAGAAGCAGGATTCTCAGCATTAGGGACCACCCTCCGAGTCCCGGCCCACGCCCGCGGAGCCGTACCTCACCCGGGGTCCCCGCGTGGGGCTCTCCGAGAACGAGTGGGAGGATGGGGGGTGTAAGGAAAGTAACGATGAAGCTGCCGTATCTAGATCTGCTTGGTTCCAGGGCCCACGACCCCGGGCGGACGCCCCCCAGCCGTGGACCCCCATTCCCCGGCTGGCGCCCGGAGGAGGAAGACTAGGAGGCACCGAGGCGGGGTCCCTGCTGGGGCTCCGGGAGAAGCGGCGCCACCGCCTGCCAGCGCGCTCGCTCCCGGGCCGGCTTCCCATCGGCCCCGCCTCCGCCTCGCCCCTGCGCGCTCGCCCAGCCCCGGCAAACCACACCCCGCCCCGGCCTCCGGGTGGCCCCGGCCCGACTCCGCCCCCTTCGCGCTCGCCCCCGCCCCCGGCCTCCGGGCAACAAGGGCTTGGCCGGCCCCCTAATTATCCACATTTTCCCCCTCCCGGCCTTTCGGCGGCCTCAGCTAAGCCCCGTCCCTCCTTAGCACTGCCCCTAATTATTCCCACCCCGCCCCCAGCCTAGCCTCCTCCTTGGCTAAACTCCGCCCCCTTCGGCCTCGGCCTTTCCCCCCCGCCCACAAACCCCCCAGATCCCCCCAACTCGTCCACACCCCGCCCCTGCCTCTGGGCTGCCCCAGATCGGCCACGCCCCCTCCGCGTTTGCCCCGCTCCCGCCCTATCAGCCTCGGGAGGCCTGCGCTTGTGTCGGTCTCCTCGTCTCCCTTTCTCCCCGTTCCCTGTCTCGCTAGGGGCCTCGGCTCAGGCTCCGCCCTGCCCCCACGCTCCACCCCCCGCGGAGACCACCCCTGCCCTCCCGCCTGCCCCCCCGCCGCCCGCCCCGCCTCGCGTGCCGCGCCCCCGCCCCCGCAGCCCCGCCCCGGCGCGGGGACCACCCTCCGCCCGCGGAGGCGCGGGCCGAGCGCTCGGGGCACTCTCGGCAGACCCGGCAGCTCTCCTCCGCCGCGCGGAGATTCCCGCGGAGCCGCGCGCGCCCCCGGCCGGGCTGAGCTCCCAGACAGTGAGGAGAGCCGCAGGAGCCGGCGGGGACGCAATGCGAGCCAGGTAGGCAGGCGGCGGTCCGGCGCTCCCCTGCGGGCAGCTCCCGCCCAGTGCCCGGCCTCGCTCCCACAGAGCCTGCCGGGGCTCGGCGGGCTCGCACCCCTCGTGGGCGCCGATCGTTCCCCCGCCGCCTGAGTTCGGGGTCCTGGTGCTCCGGCACGGCTTGCGCCGGACGGCTTCGGGAAGCCTCTCTCCCCTTGCTGCCGCCCGGGCGCCTGGGTTTCCCGGGCGCAGACGGGCGGGCCAGGGTTCCCGGCGCCGAGCCGCTGTCGGAGCCCCCGCGTGCGCCCGCGGAGCCCCCTCCCCCGGCCCTGGCGCCTCCTGGGCAGGCCCTGCGGGTTGGCGCGGCGCGGCGACTGCACGCGTCCCCGGGGCGCCCCCTCGCGCGGTTCTCGGGAGGAGAGGGGGGCGCGCGGTCCCGGGTTAAACTTGTTGGTGACAATGCATATTTCAACTTCGGAGATGCCTGGTTCTAGGATGGAAATACAAATCCCGGTTTGTGGCTGGGCCGTCCGGGGAGCGAGCAGTCGCGAGCTGACAGCGCGGGCTGCCGGCGGGTGGGGACGGCTGGAGGAGAGGCACGTTGTTCTCTAAGTGATGTTTCCCGGGAAGCCTGCTCCGCGCTGCGGATTGGTGGTGCCCGAGAGTGCGGGCGGCTCCTGGCCCGCGGCCGCTCCTGCAGCCGGGGGACCAGGCCGACGCTGGCCCTTCCCCGGGGTGCTGGGCGGCGCGAGAGCCGCGGGCCCTCTACGTGCTGACCGGCTTGCGGATCCTCCCCAGCAGTGAGATTTCGAGAGGGGACGCCGGGCTGGATTTTATTCGTGCTCATTCTTGGCGAGTTATTGCAGCAGATTTGTAGTGTGTCCTTTATCAGTAATAAGTTCGTATAACTTTTGTTTTCATCACAGAAGCAGTATATGCTTTGGGGAGAAAACGTGGTAACAAAAAGAAATATAAAGAGTAAGACAGAAGACATCCGTGATCCCACTGTTCCTACCCGCCTTTAATATTTACATTCTTGGGGTCACAGGCTTGCCGATTTAATGAGTAAGTTGCAGCTGGGGCTTCTCTTGCCTAAATCAAACTAATCCCTTTACACAGCTCTCCTCTCCGCAGCCTTCCAAGGGTAGTGGTCTCTGAACACCTAAGTTTATCTTTAGTGGCCTGGCTCCCTTCTGAGCTGGCTCCCCTTCTGTGGGCCAGAGGTGGACAGAGAAGGGAGCATCAGCCTAGAACGTTGGGTGAGACTGCATTGGCCTGGCTGTTCTCCGTCTTCCCCTGTGGTTTGGGTTCCTTGCCTTGTAAAAATGAAGGTAATGATTCTCAATCTGCTTCTCAGGCCACCATAAAAATTAATGGGTGGTTTGTGAAGCGTTTTGACATCTTTGGATGGACAGCGACTGTACTTTAAGGGGCTAGGGAGCATTTTGCTATTCCACGTTGCTGTCGTCATCCAGTGAAACAGTCTACCTTCCACCTGGCCCTCCTGACCAGGAAACAGATTCCAGGAATGTCTGGTGAAGCCTGGAGAACGTTCCTGGTTCTGGGCTCGTGCATTCTGTGCAACGAGGGTGGGGGGGGGTGATTAGAAGGAGACGCACTCCCCAGTCGGCCTCCTCCCTCCTTGCTTTGTGCATATGCGTGGACTTGGAGAGGGTAAGGGACAGGTCCCCCGTTGCCCAGGCCCGATGCTTGTCCATCTGTGGAATGCCAAGGCCATGCTGATCTGGGAGGGAACAGTTAGTTCTGGGAGGACTCGGAAAGTGAACAAACCTGGCTTCCTAGGGATTTGTCTTATGGCTCGCTTGTTTACGAAATGAACAATGAGCAGCTCAGATCTGTGGTGCCTGAGAAGCTTCTGTGAGCTTTAATTTTTTCCTGTTGTTCCAGGACTCAGGCACCACACTCCATGGCCCTTTCCAACAATGGATAGAGACTAACACCATTTGTTAATTTCAGGTATGCAAAGCCCCAGTGGGGAGAGGCCCACATAGGTTGCCTTTTGTTCCCCCGGCAGTGAAACCGAGCCTTGCTGGAAGAGCCTCCGTAGCTGGTCTGCGGGGCTTCAGTCTGTCATTTGATAGTTTTCATTTTTTTATTGTTTGATCCCACCGGCACTTTGATCTGCCCGAGGTCTGGTGGCTGATCCCAGTCCAGACACAGGGGGATTTCCAGAAGGACCCAGAAAGGGGGCTGGACAAGTTGCTGCTAAGTGTCCTTAACTGGGCTGTCTGCCAGTTAGTATTATGCTCTTAATTTTCTCGGTGGAGGGAGGAAGAGGGAGTCTTCCTGGATTTTCTCCTTTGCTGTTGTTTGCTAACTTGATTTCTGGTTACCCAGCAGCCTGGAAGTGCTTTCCTATGGCTGCTGGAACAGACTTTTTCTTATTCTAATGGTTTCTCCTCTGTTGATAAGGTATGCTAATGCGAATGGGGTTTACGCCCTTGGGTCTTGGGAGGCCCCTCCCGCATTTAAATCTTCCCATCGCCGCCAGTTGTGGGAGGAGGGTGCTTGGCTTCCCTCCGATTCTTAGTGGAGCCCTTGGCCCGAGCAAGGTTAAGAGGCACGGAGTTCGACCCTTGCTGTTCTCCCTGACTCTGGGCAGACCTCTCTGGCTCCCTGTTTCGGGTATCAGCCTTGTTTTGACTGATTAGCAGCTGCTGTTTTAGCAAGTGGGCCTTGGGCCAGCCACGTGGGTTTTCCTTAGCTTTGTTATTTTCAAATCCCGCACTTATACTGGATGGAGGTGTGATTTCTCTCCTGAGAATTCGAGCCAGGCCCCTGGGATATTTCCGAAGGCCCTGGAGCAGGGCACTCTGACTTCTTTGTCCTGAGGTCGCTGCCTGACAAGCCGGAACCGGGAAGGGTCACCAAACAGCTATGGAGACTTCACTCAGAGTGCTCTGTCTGGCTTTGCTCCTGGCCAGGAGGGGAGCCTGGGGCCATCCTGTGTGGGGGACTGAGCTGGGCTGCCCACCTTCTCAGGGATTGGCACAATAGAAGCCCCGCATTCCGCCAGCACCCTCTGGAGGAGTGACAGAAGAATAATTCACCGAGTCCCCAAATGCCCAGGGAACAATCCTGCTACTTACTGAGGATCTCTCAGGAAGCCTGAGCCTGCTTTTCAGTGGGCCCCCGGGGGCATCCTCGAGTTACATAACAGCACCTGATGCCATCTGGCCCAGTGTCTTAAGGGAGAGGATGTCAATACTCAGCCTTCTGAAGGCCAGGGCTCTCGGAAGGTATTTTAGAAATCAAGGGGTGAGCGGTGTGTTTCGAGGGGTGAAGGGTGGATCCCACAGAGTGCATCAGTCCCGCCCCCACCACCGCCCCAAGGTGGACTAGTGCCTGCTCAGACCGGCCCGTCAGTAAGCCAGTAGGATCTCAGGAAGAAGTTCGCCTAATTTAAGTTGAGATTTGGGATATTTTAGGGCTAGAAAGAGGTATCATTTGCTGAGGGCTTATGAAGCACCGGGCCTGCCAAGCACACGTGAAGACCCTCACCAAAATCATGAAGGGTTCCCTCATAGAGAAACTGTGAGGATTTACGTAGTCCCCCAGCACAAGGGTACCAGAGTGCTGGAGCCGGGAATCGAACCTGTGTCTGCCCAAGCCCAGCACTCTTATTCACATCTCCCAAGGTGCTGACATCAAAAGCGCTCTTGCACGAGGACAGGTGCGTGAAGCCTCCTTACACAGTTACAGAACTTGCACTCTGAAGGTGACGAAATCCTTAAAACCTGCAAAATGTTTGCAGCCTGAGCGGAAGGCAGCCAGTTCCACCTTTATTCCTGGGGATCTGCGCCCTCTCCCTGTCTTCTGCAGGGTCCAGGTTGGTTCCTTTGGAAGACTGAGTTGTTGCCGTTGGGGGTAACACAGACAGGAGCCCCCTGTGAAGTCTGTCCTTGTGCCCTGAAGCGAGGGTATTCCGGGCAGACCGAGGTCATGAGAATAAGATAAAGATTACAGGCAGTCTCTCTAGTAGGTCTAAGATAAGGATTCCACCTTCCACTTTGCAATGAAATAAATGACACACTCAGGAGATTATTCTTATCTGCTCATTAAAAGCTCAGTCTCTGGAGAAACTCTCGGCTGGTTCCTGTTAGCCCAACGCTTCTGAACAAATTGAAAAGAATACTTCCTGTGGAAGGATTTTTGTGGTTCCAGACTCCTGTGATTCATCTTCTCCTCTCTCCCTCTTTCCCCTTCCCCCAGGCTGTGGGACTCAGGGAAACCCTGCCCCATTTTTAGGAACCAGGAAGCTTGCTCTAGTCTCCCGGGGCCTGAAGGGAATACAGGTGTCCTTCCCTAGCTTCCCAGCGTCGGAGGCCCTTGTGCATGTGGTCTGCTGATAAACCAGCTCGGAGGAGGGGAACAAAGAGCCGTGACCGTTGCACCTGCTGGCTTCAGTGGTGTGGTCTAAACAGCCCCACTGTGGCCCCTGGGCAGCTACCGGGTTGAACCACCCATGTGAGCCAGTGAGAGCCAGCTGCAGCTCACCCTTCACTGCCCTGAGCCCACCAGCCGGCCCCCCTTAACAAAGGGGGCCACATGGTTGCTGGCTTCTGCAGGGACCGAGTCTGCCCAGCAGCTGGGCAGGGAGAAGATTCGGATGTCATTGGGTGGCGAGCTTTGGCCAGCTTCAAAGCATACTGTATGTTGAAATCACCTGGGAGGTGGATTTTGTTTTGTTTTTGTTTTTGTTTTTGTTTTTAAATCCATCTTTGCCCGCCTGATCATCCCCAGGGGAAAGCAGATCTCTGAGCGCGGGGCCTAGACCTGGACAGTTCCCCAAACCTCCCCAGCAGAATCCCCATTCTCCTATGTATCCAGGTTGCTTTATGCTGAGGGCGGGTGTCTGTTGAAAGGAAACCGGAGGTGTGGTTTGGGACACAGGGCAGACACTGTGTCGGAGGTCGGGAGGGAGTTGCCGCTTTACTCTGTGGAGCCAGGGAAGGTTTTCAGGGCCAGGTGAGGCAGGCAGAGGCCCAGATCTTTCCAGT